CTTGATGCCACACTCGGTCGAATGCAGCCTTGATGTCAAGGGCTGTCACTCTCACCTCACCTCTGGAATTCAGCTCTTTTGTCCATGTTTGAACCGAGGCTGTAATGAGGTCAGGAGCTGAGTGGCCCTGGCAGAGCCCAAACTCAGCTCATAGAGTCATACAGCACGGAAACAGGCCCTTCGGCCCAGCTCGTCCATGCTGACCAAGTTTACCAAAGTAAACTAGTCCCATTTCCCAGCATTTGGCCCATATCCCTCTAAACCCTTCCTATCCATGTACCCATCCAGATGCCTTTTAAATATTGTAATTGTACCAGCCCCCACCCACTTCCTCTGGCAGCTCATTCCACACACGCACCACCCTCTGTGTGAAAAAGTTACCCCTCAGGTCCCTTTTATATATTTCCCCTCTCACCTTAAACCTATGCCCCTCTAGTTTTGGATTCCCCCACCCTGCAGGAAAAGACCTTGGCTATTTACCCTATCCATGCCCCTCATGATTTTATAAACCTCTATAAGGTCACCCCTCAGCCTCTGACGCTCCAGGGAAAATAGCCCCAGACCATTCAGCCCCTCCCTGTAGCTCAAACCCTCCAATCTCGGTTAAACATTCCAGGCCCTGGCAAGGAACAATAAATAGCCAGAGCGCCAGGCATGGCGAGGGCACACTGGAACGTTCTAGAACAGCTGGCAGGTCCAGCGTGACTCACTGGTGTTGCTGGGGTCCTCGTTGATGATGAAGTCATGGACAAAGGAGGGATCACAGTTGTCAGACAGTCGTACTGATAGTAGCTTCTTCTGAGATGTGGCGGATTGGCGAACCAGAAAGATCTGAGGTGAGACAAACACACACACTAGTGAGGGGCCGAACTCGACCAAAGGTTGGGGGGTTGGGACGGGTGCTGCGATAGGGAGGAGGATTGTCCCAGGATACAGCAGGATGTAGATCAGTGAAAGGCAGGGTCAGAAAAATGGCAGATGGAGTTTAATCCAGACATGTGTGAGGTGATGCATTTTGGAAGGTCAAATACCAGCAGAAACTACACAGTGAATGGAAGAACCCTTAGGAGCATTGATACGCAGAGGGATCTGGGTGTGTAGGTCCATAGATCACTAAAGGTGGCAGCGCAGGTAGATAAGGCAGTAAAAAGGCCTATGGCATGCTTGCCTTCATTGGAAGGGGCATTTAGTATAAAAATAGGCAAATTATGCTGCAGTTTCATAGAACTTTAATTGGAATATTGCGTACAGTCCTGTACACCACACTATCAGAAGGATGTGGATGCTTTGGAGAGGGTACAGAAAAGGTTTACCAGGATCTTTGCCTGGTACAGGGGATTTTAGCTATGAAGAATGTTTGGATAGACTGGGTTTGTTTTCACTGGAACACAGGAGGTTGAGGGGTGACCTAATAGAAGTTTATAAGATTGTGAATGGCATGGATACAGTGGAAAGAAGGAGACTTTTCCCAGGGTGGAGGGGTCAATTACTAGGGGTCATGGAGCCGGGGTGGTGGGGGTGGTAGTTTTTCACACAAAGGGTGGTGAGTGCCTGGAACACGCTGCCAGAGCAGGTGGTGGAAGCAGACACAATAACAGCATTTAAGACACACCTGGATGAACACATGAATAGGAAGGGAATAGAGGGATACAGATCCTGTAAGTGAAGACAGTTTTAGTATGGAAAGGCAAAATGTGTCAGCACAGGCTTGGAGGGTCGAAGGGCCTGTTGCTGTGCTGTATGGTTCTTTGTTCTAAACTCAACCGATGTTGCTGACACAGTCTGACAGAAAACCCCCAGCAGATTTCTGAATTGAATAAAAATCAGATGCTGCTTCTCAATCCTCCTTCTCCAGATGCTATCACTGGTTTTGCAGGAGGCACAGGGTGACTGACTCACACTCATAAAACTCTGTGACTTGTTCATTAAAACCCATTGCGCACAGCAACAGCAGGAGGGAAGGGACACTGGTTCAGGTTCAAAGTGGATTTACTGCAGAGAACAGAGAGACCTCCTGAGCTGGGGAGGTGGTCCCTGTATCGTGTTCACAGCCCCCAAGCTGTCTGGCTACCTGGGAGCCAATCACATCGCTGTTGGTGGGCAGAAGGCCTTTGTCATTGATGACTGGTCACTAGTCCACAGACCAATCAGCTACTTGTTGCCAGTTGGATGTCCACCCTCCCCACCGCTGGGTTCAGCTCGTCTGCAAACTATATTTCACCCACTGCTGCAAACTACAGCTGTGTAAATAGGGGCAGCGCGGTGGCTCAGTGGTTAGCACTGCTGCCTCACGGTGCCAGGGACCCGGGTTCGATCCCACCTTCGGGTGACTGTCTGTGTGGAGTTTGCACATTCTCCCCGTGTCTGCGTGAGTTTCCTCCAGGTGCTCTGGTTTCCTCCCACAGTCCAAAGATGTGCAGTTTAGGGTGGATTGGCCATGCTAAATTGTCCCATAGTGCCCAGGGATGTGCAGGTTAGGGTGGATTGGCGTGCTAAATTGTCCCATAGTGCCCAGGGATGTGTAGGTTAGGGTGGATTGGCCGTGCTAAATTGTCCCACAGTGCCCAGGGATGTGCAGGTTAGGGTGGATTGGCCGTGCTAAATTGTCCCGTAGTGCCCAGGGATGTGCAGGTTAGGGTGGATTGGCCGTGCTAAATT